GGCGGGAGGCAGAGCGGGCGCCCGGGGACGGAGGCGCTTCGTGGCGTAACTTGACGGTGAGAAGGGGCGCCCGCGGCAGGGCCCGTCCGAACGGGAAGGCGCGTTGGCATCCTCGGTTCGCGCCGGCAGACTTCACGGCGTCGGTTTTAAACTTAAACGTTGTTTGTCCCGGAGGTGAGGCTGGGCGCCGGTGCTCTGCAGGCACAACCCCGCCGGGCAAGGGGCCGTCGGGCTTCCGGACAAAAGAAACCCGGCGGCGCACACGGAGACGGGTGGCCCGAGCCGCACGTTCTGCCCTTGCTTTCCACCTTACGGGCGGAAGCGAGTGAACGGCGTCTGCAGCGTTTGAGCTTTGCCTGCAGGTTCAAGCTGTTGCGTTGGACGGCCCCGACCGTTCTGGGGGATGAGGGAGGGGGAGAGGAGTGCGATTCTTGAGCGAAGCCTAGCTAGAACCAGCAAACGGGACGCAGCGTAGACAGCTTTTACCATTGGGAGCTGTTAAAACTGTCGACAGGAAGAAATTTTGACTGGTACGCGCAGGGTTTGAACTTCAATTTTCTTCTAGCGATAGCGGTCGGAAGCTCTGTCTTCTGAGCAGCTCCCTGTGTTAGTGGGACTGAAACGATGTGGGGCTTCATAAACTCTGGGGAGTTTATTTCTGCGCAGCAGACCTGTTACTTCAGTAGGCTAACGTGCGTGGCTTTTCTTATTCTTTCTTCTCCCAGAACCAATCTACGTTCCATTCCTCATTGTTGGATCAATATTTATTGCCTTCATTATCGTGGGCTCTCTGGTGGCGGTGTATTGTTGCACGTGTTTAAGACCTAAACAGCCGTCGCAGCCGATACGATTTTCTCTGCGGAGCTATCAGACCGAGACTCTTCCCATGATCCTGGCCTCGACAAGCTTCAGGACGCCATCGAGGCAGTCCAGTACCGCCACAAGTTCCAGTTCGACTGGCGGCTCTGTTCGCAGGTTCTCCTTTCCCCGGGCAGAGCCGGGCTGCCTTGTGGCATCGCCACCTCCGCCCTACACGTCTGGCTGCTTCCAGGCAGCCCACGCGGTCCACCTGAGCCAGCCGTCGGGGTTTCTGGTGTCACCGCCGTACTTTGGGTATCCCCTCCAGGCAGAGCCTGCCCTGGCTGGGAAGAGCTGCTCCGATTTCAGTCAGAGCTGAAAGGAGTTGTGAAGAGCTAACGCAGGGACCGCTGCTGCTGCTGCTGGGTGTCACGCTGACTCGCTGTGTGGCCGCGGAAGTCAGAACCGTTCCTGTGGGTGAGTTGCCCTCGGAAAGTGCAAGGTCTCCTTCGGGATCTCATTGCCCAAACTTGGATCACACTTCCAAAAGAATTGTAAAATATTCCAAACCGTTGCTCTGAAAACTTGAGCGCCCTGATCGTTCAGTCTAATTTGCGCGGGACGTGTTCAGAGACAAGTAGAAAAACCGTTTTGGGACAAAGGTACTCGTTGCACGGTGTTGTAAATGACATTTTAACCCTAAATGCTATTAACTTGGTTAACAAACGGTGGCTGCGTTCCACTGGTAATATTCAGACTAGTTCTGTAAACCAGCAATAAGCCTGAGAAGTAAGACAGGAGTAATACTTACTAAAGAGGATCCTGAAAACATCTGACTGCTTGCCACTTCCATAAGCAATGAAAATAAGAGGAAGAACTTTACTACACATAATCAAAATGCGTAGGATTTTTAAAATACACATAATATACCTGAACTTAGACTGCATATTTGTATTCGTAAACTTGAACGATAGATAAAACTAGTACTAATTAGGCTAGTTGAAAATGAGCCAATCCCAAGCAGCCAAATAATTACCTATGAGAAAAGCAGAATGTATTCAGCAATATCCCTAGTAACTTCTCCGTATAAAATTCTGAAAATGGTGTTATATTAAAGCATTTTTCAGAAGGAAGTATTTATTGTTGGCTTTTTGCTCAGCAACGTAAGTTGGACAAACTGATTGATCATAAAGGCATATTTGTAAAATTAGCCATGTATAAAATGTAAAGACATGCTTGTAATTTAAAATGTATTTGCAGCATTGACAACACTAATTATATAGTAGTCACACAAAAAAAAGAATTATCAATAAACTGTGTGATTGAAATGTTGTGTCATCTGTATGTCTCTGGACAGACGGTGTTTGATGAGCAAGTTTTCATTTGGATGGTGTAACTGTACTGTATTTTTTCCTGTTAAAAATAGTTAATTTTGCTTTTGTAAACGATTTACATCTTTAACTGCACCTGTTGTGCAGATTTAATATAATAAAAAATTCTGAATATATATAGCAAAGTAATAGATTAATTAATGTCTTTTATATGTAACAGTGGTAAAAATGTGGTTAAAACTACACTGGTTAGTTGGGTATTTTAATTTAAAACATCCTGCCCTAGGAATAAATTTTGTTTGCCCTTCTACATTCCTTCACCCAAGTAAACCAACAAACCAAATGGAAGAAAAAAAAATGCATCTAAACCAAACACATGCAGCAAGCAAATGGAAAATACACATGAAAAAATGCAGTCATTAAAGGGCTTCTCTGTATGCTTACTTTTGTGAACAAAGTCATTCTGTGTGTCAGAATCTACAATATCACAGGCTGAACTTTTCTTATTTTATCAGCCCCACACTCCCTCTGTATATGATCTGTTGAAGTGCGTTATAGCTGACCTATTTTACAAGTACTAGCATATCTGTGCAGATTAAAATTATTACAGCACTTCTATTCTGAATTACAGTATACTTCTCTGTATATTAGAAAAGTTTCATTGGTTCTTTCTCAAGAGTTGAATAAATTTTTTTTCTTAGCAAATATCTAGCAATCAGTATCAGCTTTTATGAAACAAATATTTTGAAATAACCCTCTTAATATGTTTTTTATTGCATAATTACAATCAAACATATTACTGGTGGAAATGCGGTTTCTAAGCAGAAAGACAAGTTGTATAGAATGATGTTTTAAGTCATAGGCTTTAGCTTGAATGCTGTAATTGTCAATTACAAACTAAAATCATGATACACAGTCATGTATATGCTTCATAAAAATCTAAGAAGTAGATTTTGAGTACTTGAGAATTAATTGAAAAGTAAGTGTTTTGGCTTGCAATTTTTTTAGAAACAATCTTCAAGGAAAGGGGTGGGTAAATTTTTGCCCACCTTTGTTGATGTTTCATAGGACTCTTTCCACTGCGCATTTGGAACGGGTAAGAAATATGGGACTGTTCCAAGTAACTTTTTGGAAAACTCATTTAATATTGCAACAGATAGTGGCTTTGTTGTTTGGAAGCATCCTGCCAGATCTGCTGATCATTCCTATATACAGCAGAAGCAGATTAGTAAAACAATTAAACTCTTATTTTTTACAAATTATAAGTCTTCAATTAGTAGAAATCTTTATCTAGTAAACCAAGGCAACACAGATCCTTCTGGAAGCAGGAACCTGATCAATTTTAGCTAAGAAGGTGCAATTTTTTGTACCTTTAAAGAGCAATTAGTCATCAGCGCCACTGGCACGGGTGGTGGGTAGCTGAAATTCAGCGTTTTCCTCAAAGACAGGCTGTATACAGGTCATGAGTTGGACTCGGTTATTGCCTGTTGACATTTGGCGGTCAGGGTACGCTGGACAGGCCAGGCTGCTTCACCATAATCGTCTCACTGGGCTCTACAGTCAGATTTACTAATGTTTTAACACAGGGATGGATTTTTGCTACACTTGCGTACAGGCTTCCAGATTTTAGCGATTATTCAGCCTAAGTAAAGGCTGTGCAGTTTGCCATGTAGTGTGAAACTCGACCTAGCAGGGAAGAGCCCTCTGAGCTGCTTCCCTTTTCTCCCTGGTGCTGCATAATGGGTTTGACCTCATAAAATGCTTGAAGAACTTGACACGCAGGAATAATTTCATTGAGTCAGGGAAGTCTGTATGCTTACGGAGTGCTAAGCCCTTCACAGATTGGTAGCCAGAGCGCAGACGGGGGTCTAAGGCTGGGAAATACCAGGTGTAGTGAAAATAGCTGTGCGTGGGTACCTGTAAAGCAGGTGAGGTGGGGACTGTGCACCATCGGCAAGTAGACGAAGAAGAATCTGTAATTTAAGAAGAATCTATAAATTATTGTTCACGTAGCTACAGTGGCAGTGACCTGTGTAGCTGAAGGGAGAGGAAGGGAGGGGGGCAGAATACAAGCCCCCAGACTGAAATGCTTGTTGCCTGTGCCCGTAGTTTCCAACCCAGATGGATTCAGGGTGCAGGCGAGAATGCTGATTTTCCTTCCTAATGATAAGGACCTATTGGCACTAGATGCTCCTGTGAAATAGTAATTTTTTCTAAAACTTGCAGACAGAACACAAATTCCATTCTGATACACAGTTTTAATGACTAATGAAATGGTCTGAAGGGCTAGATGTATGCTTGAACTAAAAGCAATTGCTTGCTCTCAGAAGCAACGTTTACACAGTAAGTGCTTTACTGCCATGCTTATTTTTTAACACAGTAGGTTGAACTATTTCTTTTGTAATGCTGGAGCTACTTCATGCTCATTTCACTAGAGTGACGCAAATCTAAAATACATCAAAATGAAACAAAAATCACAGTAAATTGATGATTGTCATTCACGCACATTATGCACAGAATGCTTTGATTGCCATTAACTGGTAATGGCGTGTCTGAAACCCAAACCTTCTGTGGGCAAAGAATAATAGTGACATGAATTAGATCAGCCATTTGTTTTGTATTTCTACATTCTGGGTTTCTTAAGTGCCTATCTCCAAAATGCATCAAAACTCTTCAGTGCTAAGAAAACATTACACGTACTTGCAAGAATGTGTGAAGGATTTTATTTGAAACTAGGTAAGCGGTATGGTATATGGCTATGTAAACTCATGGATTATATGTAACACTAATCCCACTGGAATTAAAAAAAAAAGGTGACAATTTCAACGTTAGTTTGTCACTACGGTTCAGTTACAGCTTGACAGTAACGTTAAGGATATGGAGCCAATTTTCGGTGCTGTTTCTCTGCGTATTGTGATGTGCTCTGTGAACCTGATACTCTGAACAGAGCTGCTGCTTTTGAGGAGGCTGCTGCTCCACGATACTCATGTAAACACTTTTTCATTCACGATTACATAGAGCCGGTAATTCCATGCTATGCTGTCTTCATTACCAAAGGCAGAAGAAGAAATGCCTTTCTGTTATTTTTATTCTCTCCATCTATAACTTCTGCAAATTCAGGGGGCTGTGATGTAAATTGGGTTAGTGAAATAATTTAGCTTAAAAATAATGTTTGCCATAAGAAAGGAGGGAAAGGATTTGAAAGGGAGCCTGGATCATTCTAAACTGGATTACAACCTGAATAATTTCAATGACCTCATGACTGCCAGAGTAATAGAAGTGGTGACATACCATGAGGTGGAATCTCCTTAAGCAGCTCTACCATTAAAGACTGGGTATCATGAAAGTAACAGTGTGAAAGATGCATCTATTAGAGAATACAGAATCTATAAAATAAATTAATTGTCTAGTGTGTATATAAAGAATCAGTCACCTATCTACAACCAAAACTCAGTTTAGCTTTGTATACATTGATTTTTATTCAGTGGGTGGGCACTGTCTGGGGAAAGAAATACCCACTACTGTCATAGCCAAAGGATACAGTATTTATCACTGGCATCTGAAAAAGGAGATGATGCTTCCTTATTCACACTCCATCATTCTTGTACTGCATACTTCTTCAAAATATGGTATCGCCACGAGAGTATGTTAGGGCTCTGCTGCAAATCACTAAATTGTACTCTGGTGCTCCCTTTTTTTCTTTTTAAACTTCTTCCAGGCTTCACATGAGAACTGAGAGAGACATCTCAAAACAGGCGTTTAAAAAAATTTGAAACATTTTCTACTTTTTCAGTTTATATTAATAACATAGGAATTCTCTGTTATTTGTTAAATGCTATTTCTGATGTGTCCCATTTTAAAGAATTAAAAAACAAGAGTGATGAGGTGTCTTCTTTTGAAAGTAATCCCTAGCATTTGCAACCAATCAATTCAACAAAGCTTCTTCATTTAATGGCAAAGTTTATTCATTTTTTAACAATTAAAAGACAAAACATTTAAAATTTGCAGTTCAAAACATGCACATTCACCAAATGCCAAATGACATGTA